TAAAACTGGGCCGCCTATATGTAAAATTCTGTTAGGAACAATTTTACTTAGGCAGCCAAAGTAGGTTTACTTAATAATAAATTGAGAAAAGAGTAATTATGTTTAGAGAAAATTTGGTACAAGTGATCGTCAGAAAGAGTTAATGATTTGCGTCAGTTATAATTAATTTAAAAAAGCTACAATTCATTAATATAATAGAAAAACAAGTAATTTATATTATAAATAGTGTTATTATTCTATGACTTCTTTACTGACTCTACTCATCATTTCTTACCTCAGCTCAAACAAATTTACTTAACAAAATATATACTTAACTAGTTAAATATAAGTCAAAACTAGTATGAGAAATCTTTAATACTTTTTTATATAATCCTAACATTATGTACTAACAGATATAGCTTAAACACAACTTTCAATACTAGTTATAATACTTCAAAAAACCTAAACCACTTCAATTTTAACTTCTTTTTCTGAAACTACATCTACAATACTACATTTACAATATTACAAAATATCAGATTGACTAATGCCTTTATTCTAGTATAACTTCTAATTTTTCCAATACCTCAAACAAATACAGTTGTCCCTCTTTAAAATCACACAAATTGTTAGTCACAAATCTGGTAATTGTAGAGAGGTGTGATTATAAAAAGAGTTCAATTTTTATAATTGCAAGTAATCATGTGACAACCATCCAATCAGAATTACCAATATAGTTAACACAGATTTAATCAAAATGTATAAGAATTAATAATCACTAGTATAATTATTGAAAGATTTTCAAATTGCCACTTTTCAACAATGTTTCAATGTTTGCAAAATAATAAATAACTTCATAGTTTTATATAAGATTTTGTTTTATAAATTTTAATATTCAATGAGTTATAAAGAAAATTTTTGAAGGCATTAATATACTATATAAAAGCTTATATAAGTAACACATAGTTTGCATATCTAAATAAATTATGCTACAATAAAAACAAGCACAGGCAATTTTACAATAAACCCTAATTTAATCAAATAAGTAAAATTATATAGTGAACCCGACTCTAAATGTTTAAGGTTATTACTAATCAGACTCAGCTAATTAAATTTATTAAGAGTTGAATCCAATAAAAAATATATTTAAAACCCAAAGTCAGGTTTTCTCTTGCTGTCACCTATATGATAGCACACTGGGGTGTTTCATGCTGAATGATTTACTATAATAGTGAAGCACAATATGATCAGTGCACTATATAAGATTTTTTGAAATTTGTCAATTAATCTACCTATAAAATTTATCATAGTAATTTTATTGTAAAATCTATACGTTTTTAAAATACTATAGCTTGTGTTATAGTAAAGCGAATTCGATCTGTAACTTGTAAATGATAGATAAATAGTATAATTTTAAAACTATATTGTCATATATATAGGTTTTAATATGTCTATAGTCTAAACTTATAAATTATGAATATGTTACTATTAAAATTTAATAATTTAGAATTTGGGTTAAATTAATAAATAAATTAGAAAATGTCTTAGTATAGTTTTAAAATCATACTATTTATCTATCATTTGCAAATTACAAAATTAAATTTGCTTTACTAGAAAGTGAGCTATATCAGTTTAAAAATGTATAAATTTTATAATAAAATTACTATGATAAATTTTACAACTAGATTGATCAACAAAATCTCAAAAATCTAACATCATGTGCCAATTATATTGTGCTGCACTATAATAGTAAATCATTTGGTGTAAAACACCCCAATAGCATACTGCTTTAGATGTTCCTTATATCTAAACTTTATTAATAAATCAGAAGTTTATAAATTTAATTTTCTTAAAAAACTAGACTAAAACAACTATATAGTATAAATGTGATTAATCATATTGAACTGACTAATGCTTAATTTATTGAAGTAGAAAAATAAGAATTGCTTGCATATTTAAACGAATTAACAAAGGTTTGCTAAACTCACCAAAAAAAAATATATATATAGAGTAATTCGCATATTAGGCAAGCTAATAATTATGAAATCAATGTATTATATTTTATTTAATCCAATCTTTAAAATTAGAGTAAATAATAAATACCAAAAAGAAATAGTATGAATAATTATTCGATCTCTAAACCAACTAGCATTTGAGAAATAAATAAAACATGTAAATAAAAAGTTATTTAGAAATATTAATCAGTTTTAAAAAACTCAACAAGTTGAATTGCATATAGAATAGCATTATTCAACTTGTTGAATTTTTGGTTTTAATCAGTAAAATCAAATTATAAATAATAAATTAATTTAGCTTACTAATATGATAAGCAGTTAATGCATTCAGCAATATTAAGTAAATAAAATAAGTAAAAGCCATATAAACACACAAATAATTAAGTTTTAAATTACTGAAAATAAATGGCAAGAGAAATAATATGCAGCCCAAACCAACTGTAGTGAGACTTGTAATACATTATAAAAATAAATAAGTAAAAAGAATTATATGAAGTTAAATATAATTTGAATTAACTTACTGAAAATAAATATAATTTATTTTCGATGTAGATAAAAATTAGTAAGTATATGTGTATCTTATTTAGCAACTATTAAAAACTTCATTCTAATAATATGTATGAATACTGAAAAATAAATAACACAAGAAACAACTTGCATATTAAACCAACTAAATATTTTAAAGTGAATAAAGTATATATGAGTCATTTATGCATTTGAATAATCATTATAATAAGTGCTAGTTTAGTTAACTTACTAAAGTAATTAGATATAAAGAACTATTTATACAAAAAGAATAAGAATATATATTTAAGAAACTTATTAAAAATAAAATAGATACTAGTTAACTTACAGAATATGAATGATATAAAGAACTATTTGCACACTGAACTGACACTTGCAAAAAAAAACAAAAAGAAAAAAACAAATGTGAAAATAAAGAATCATAAGTATGAATCAAATTAGATAATCCAAATTGTGCTAACTTACCAAAAATATATTGCACAGAAGAACCATATCTAACTAATGTTTATATGAATAAAAAATGTATCGAAAAATCATTTGCATGTTTTAATAATAGTTAAAAATCTGGTTAATAAATGCAACTTACCAAAAATTCTTAACATAAGTGAAAAGAAAAGAAAAACCAAAAAAATTGCATATTTAAACACTGACTAGGTAGAAATGAAGCTATTAAAATTTAAAGTAAGAAAATATGAATAAAATAAACAATTAAAAATAATTAAATAAATAACTAGATCAACTTGCCAAAAAAAAAAAAAATCATATGCAAACCTAAAAAAAAAAAATTCAAATGTAACAAAGATAAATTATAAGATCAACTTTTAATTTGCCTCTGCAGGCATAAAAAAATTTGTAATAGAACTTTGCTTTTTAGACTTTATGTCTTTACATCTCATTATAGGTAAATATTTTCGAATAACATTTAAATCTTCTGATCTAAAATATTGGTCACTTTGTTGCTCAAAAAACTCTATAAATTTTTTTAGACCTGCAAATCCTTCTGAAACTGAAATTTTTGAAGGCTCTTCGTCTGAATTGTTGGATTCCTGTTCCTTTTGCTGCTGTTCTATTAATACTAATTTGACAATTTCAGTATTATTTAATTCTTCTTCAGTAAAAATTTGTGCATTATTAAGTTGAAGATATTTGTTAACTTGAGGTAAAGCTGTTTGGTCTAATTTAGTAACTGATGCCTTGATATTATCTTCTTCTTGCTTAATAAGAATATCATAAGAAATATTTGCATGCTGAATTTCATCATTGTTAACAGAAGGTAAAATCCCAGTTTTTTCTAACAGTTCATGATTATAGTTTTACCAACTTCATTTCAAGACTCTGCTATATAGTAAATTGCATCTTTAATAGTAACTTTTTTTCTAAAAAGTTTGTTTTAGTTTAAATTATAAGACACAATTAAAATTTATAATATTTTAAATGAGAACTAAGTCTAGAAAAATGCTAGTTCAGAATTTTTATAATGTTATAAAAGTCTATTAAAATAGACTTTTATGATGTAATAAGAATTCTGAATTGGCATTTTTCTAGACCAGATTTCAAATACCTACTTTTTCATATTTTCATCTTTTTCAAACTGATTATAAGATGTTGAATATATTTTTACTGGTATTTTGATTTAAAACATTTGATTATACCTGCATCCATCAGCTAAAAGTGCACAGTAGTATTTGGCAGAAGAAAATGAAGTTTAATATTAATTAACTGAAGGTTAGTTAAATCAGAAATTGTATATAGATGATCTTGACTATTACAAGTTTGACTTTGATTTTGTTGTGTAGTAGGCAATTTTTTTGCTACTACCTTTAGACACAGATATAGACTCTATTGACTCAGTTTCTTTCTCTTTGTGAATATTAATACTAGATACAGTGGAGGATAAATTTCTGTTTGGATCATAATGACTAGCTTATTATCAACTAAAATTAAAACATGTCTGTTTTGAAGATGAAATTGATAATCTAAAGTTTTTAGCCAATCTCCAAATA